ACAGAAACTGTATTAATTAAAACACTGCTTGGCCCATTAGCTCTAACTTCTTCTTTTTTTTGTTTTTTGTTTTTTCGAGACAGGGTTTCTCTGTGGTTTTGGAGCCTGTCCTGGAATTAGCTCTTATAGACCAGGCTGGTCTCGAACTCACAGAGATCCGCCTGCCTCTGCCTCCCGAGTGCTGGGATTAAAGGTGTGCGCCACCACTGCCCGGCAGCTCTAACTTCTTATTGTCCAACTCTTACATATTAATTTAACCCATCTCCATTAATCTGCATATCACCACGAGATCGTGGCCTACCAGCTGAGTTTTAGCACATCTATTTCTGGTGGTGGATCCATGGTGTCACTTCTCTGACTCTGCCTCCTTCCTCCCAACATTCAGCCTAGCTTTCCCTGCCTACCTAAGTTCTGCCTTGCTATAGGTCCAAAGCAGTTTCCTTATTCGTTAATGGTAATCACAGCACACAGAGGGGACTCCTACATCACCCCAGCATGACCTGCATGCTTTTCATCAGACCAGGCGAGGGGGGAAGAGGAGGTGTAATCCCCTCTGCCCCTTCTTGTTGCATCATTAGAGTCTGCTGTGTTTCTTGATCAAATGTCTTCCTTCCTGATAGATAGTCTTACACACACTGCTTCTTCTTACTGTACTGCGTATGTGGAGGGGAGATTTGGGATTGCCCATGTTACTAAGTCTCCCTCGTGATCCTTCAAAACTCTACCTAGGGCCCTGTTATAGTCCCTTATTAAGCAGTTCCAATTTTCCTAATTTGATTATACCATCTGTTTCTTGCTGGGACCCTGACTGAGAATAGGCCTTATCCAGAAGGTAACATCTTGGCATAGATCTGAATGATCCAACGGAATGAGTCATGAAGAGAGCTGGGGGAAGTGCCAAGCTCCTGCAGGAGCAAGGAGGCAGGATGAATAGGGTCGAAAAAACTGTGAGGGGGGGGGGGCTGGGGTGTGGACGGAAAGGTCAAGGCGGTGATGTGTGTGATGCGGACAGAGGTGCAAGGCCCAGGGCAGGTAAACCATATACGGTCTAATTGGCCTGTGCAAGGGCTTTGGCTTTTATTTTGAATGGAACAGGGACAATTGGAACCACATACAACTAATTAAATCTAATGAGTTTGCTTTCTGTTCCGTGCTGACAGAGGCTCTGGCTCTCTGTGACTCAGTGGTGGATTTCTCCTCCCAGTGCCAAGCCTGCTGATGAATGCGTGGGCGTGCTCAGTCAGCCCAGCATGCTCGGGTGCAAGTTCAAGGCTTTGTGTCTCCCTTGATGCTGTGGGCGACGTGACCTCTCTTTACAGTCGGGATTCAGACTACAGTGTCTCTTTTTTTTGTTAGCATATTCTTTTCAGTTCTGCTAATGATTTGGGAGTGGACACATTTTTCTTACTCCCTTTCTTTCTTCTTCTCCTTTTTTTCGTTGTTGTTAAGAGTCAATAGGCCCTTCTATGCTGGCTTCAGAAGCTACTTATCTAAAGGGTCTTGTACAATGAAGAACTAACTGCCTAACTACTTCGAGGGAAGAATACAAGGCATTTAACAGAGAAATACTGTCTGCTTACCTACCTCTTAGAGACGGTAGATATTGTCTTGACTTTTTAAAAAGCAGGGAGGGGCTGGGGAGATGGCACAGCAGGTAAAGGCACTTGGCACCAAGCCTGACGATCTGAGTTGAATCCTGCGGACCACGCAGTGGAGGGAAAGAACTGACTTTCACACGTTGTTCTCCGACCTCCTCACTCACACAGCACATGCACGACACTTCCACCACAATAAATAAATACGATAAATATTTAAAAAGCAAGACGTTTATTTGCATATAGATGAGATGCATGCAAGAGCGTACATGTTTGAGACATATTTTGATTATTGAATGGTTATTTCTATTAAAGCTGGCATGAAATCTAGACCATCTTCCATGGGTTTCCTGAATAAATGTAAATTCCACTCTCTGCATCCTCCAACCCTATCACCTCCTTATCCCCAACCTGGGAGGAGGAGACAGGAGGATTGCAAATTTGAATCTACTCAAATGTGTTTGTGTGTGTTGGGCTGGCAGTGGGGAAGAGAGTGTGCTGGGGGTGGGGGAAGCAGAGTCTTTGGAAAACAGTAGTTTTTGCAATGTAATACATTTATGGAAATTCAATGCATTTTCTAGCCCAGTACATGGCTTATATATTTCAGTCCCATGTTAATAAAAATTTTGTTTGTGACAATTTCTGGAACTCTTTCTTTCTGCTCTTGTCAATGTGCTGGCTGCAAAATTGAACTCCAGGATAAGTTGGTTCCACACAGTTCTGGATTGCAACTTCAATCTTGCAATTGCGAAATTGTTGAAAGTTGCAGTGATGTTTTATTTGCATTTTTTATAACTAAAGCTTGCCTGAAGGTCAGAGAATATAGCAGCTGCCCTGGTCAGCCTTACAGAACAGGCAATGGCGACACACACTTTTAATACCAGTAGCCACACTAATTTGCCATAGGAACCAGGCTGTGGTGATGTATACCTTTAATCCCAGCACTAGAGAGGAATATAAGACAGGAGAAGATAGCTCCCAGTCAGTCTCATTCTGAGGATTCCTGGAGGCAGAGTCACCATTTCGGACTGAGGTAGAGGTAAGAGTCAGTGGCTGGCTGTTTTGCTTTTCTGACCTTCAGGTTGTACCCCTGAATATCTGATTCTGGGTTTCTGTTAATTGTGCAACAGAAAGCTAACTTCCAGTGCCATAGTATTAAGAGCTGGGGCTATCGCTCAGTGGTGGAGCTATGCAAAGTCTTGGGTTATCCCCAGCGTGGTAGGGGGTGGGGATGACAGAGAGGATGCACTGGGAGGTGATTGGATCATGATGACTCAATCCTCATGGACAGGATTAGTATCTTTTTTTATTTTTTTATTTTTAAGGATTTACTTATTTATTATGTAGGCAGCATTCCTTCCATGTATGACCACACACGCCAGAAGAGGATGCCAGATCTCATTATAGATGGCTGTGAGCCACCATGTGGTTGCTGGGAATTGAACTCAGTACCTCTGGAAGAGCAGTCAGTGCTCTTAACTACTGAGCCATCTCTCCAGCCCTGGAATTAGTATTTTTGTAAGAAAGGTTTGGCCAGTACTGATGAAGCATGTCCTGAGTGTGAGAGGCTGAGGCAAGAGAATTATGAGTCAAAGTCAACTCAGCTACATAGTGTTTTGTTTTATTTTTATTTTTTAATTGTTTAAAAACATTGAGCTATATAGCTTTCTCCGCTCTCCTCCCTTCCTCTCCCCCCTTCCCTTCTACCCTCTCCCATGGTCCCCATACTCCCAATTTACTCAGGAGATCTTGTCTTTTTCTACTTCCCATGTACATTAGATTCATGTATGTCTCTCTTAGGGTCCTCTTTGTTGTCCAGGTTCTCTGGGATTATGAATTGTAGGCTGTTCTTTTTTTTTTTTTTTTTTTTTGCTTTATGTCTAAAAGCCACTTGTGAGTGAGTACATATTATATTTGTCTCTCTGGGTCTGGGTTACCTCACTCAAAATGATGTTTTCTAGAGCCATTCATTTGCCTGCAAATTTCAAGATATTTTTTGTCTGCTGTGTAGTACTCCATTGTGTAAATGTACCACATTTTCCTTATCCATTCTTCTGTTGAAAGACATCTAGATTATTTCCAGGTTCTGGCTATTACAAATAATGTTGCTATGAACATAGTACATGCTAATCCCAGCATTCTTTTAATTTTTAGCAGAGGTAGGTAGATCTCTGTGAGTTCAAGGTTTACAAAGAGAGTTCTGGGACAGAGCTACAAAGTGAGACCCTGTCTGGAAACAACAACAGAAATATTGTAATAGAAGAAGACATTAAGAGGTCTAAAATTTGTACTTGTGCACTTGGAAAACGCATGGGAATACCATCAAACTAAGAAAATCAGAAAGGCAATTATAAACCTCACAGAATTTCCCCTAGGGTACAAGAGATTGAATACAGAAGCAGGTTCAAAATTAATTTAGATAAATTCTTACAGAATGAAAGCAGTATAAATTATTGGGAGATCTAGAGGTGGTCTGTGGAATATAATTATTTTGTTGAGGTGCTGTACAGGAAACCAAGAATGACCTTGCAAATTTAACTTAGAACACTGCTTGCTAAGTTCCTATTGATAGAACTATTGAGCTAGAATCTCTAGAGATGGCACCCAGGCTTCTTTTTAAGCTTTGTAATGTTTCTAAAACTGCGCTGGGTTTCAGAAACAGCCAGGTAATGGACTGCTACCCCTTTTAAATACTTTCCTTTTTTAGACAGCTTTCGTGTTTGCTGTGTTGTGCCAGGTATGCCAGACTTCTGTGCGATCATCTCTCTCCACTTCGCTAAAGAAAATGCTTGGCTATATATAATACACGTTAGATATCAATAATACGCTTGGTTAAAGTTCTTTAAAAACAGTACTTCCTAGATCAAATCAGCAGAAATTTCCGGGCCTTGACGACTAAGCAAGCAGAAGGACCAGCACAGCATTGTGAAGCGAAGGCTCTGAGCTGTAGCTACAGGAAGCAAGCTGATTCTGCTTTAACATTTCTGAACCCTTGGCACTACCAGTACAGTACTCCGTCCCCCTTCCTGCCCTCTCCCTCCAGCTTTACAAAAGTCTCCAAATATCAAGAAGCTGTCCAGCACCTCCCAAAGCTGTCCTGGGGCAGGCTGCCAACAGGACCCCCTGGCTCTGTGCTGTGGCTTCTTCAGACAGGATCTTTTGATCTCGCGCCCGACAGCGTCAGCCGGGGCGCGAATTTCATTCTGCATCACTGCGGCTACCTAGCCTAGCTCCGGTTACCCGCGCCACCGCCCCCCCCCCAACCCAGCGGCAGTGCACCGGCTAAGAAGGGACGCGCAGGCGCACGAGTGGGGCGGACGCCCCAGTCGAGGAGGCGGGACGAGCTTTTTGAATTCGGCTTTTTATTGGCTGTCTTTATCAGGATCCGCCCCCCCCCCTGGATGGCGGAGGCGGCGCGTGGGCCACGTCAGGTAGCCGTGCGGGCTGCGCCAGTGGCAGAAGTGAGGTAAGCCATGCGGCGTGGCTGGCCGTCCACCGGCAGCCACTGAGTGGGCAGCCGTCACATCGGGGCAGCCTGCAGCCGCCGCCACGGGGGCGAGGGCGGCCGAAGCTGGGGGACTTGGGCTGGGCTGCAAGCCGGCGGCAGAGCATGTGGCGGCAGGGCCGGGGCGGCGCGGGAGGCGGGCAGGGCGCTTGACCTGCTGCCGGTTCTGCGTAGCCTTGAGCGGTTCCCAGGTCTGCAGCGTCGGGGCCGGCTCGCTGTGGGGGGGCCTGGCGACCCTAGCTGCCGGCACATTTCGGATGGCTTGCCTGCCCCAGGTTGCAGTGGTCCCTCTCCTTGACCCGGGCTCTAGTCCGGGGCAGCGTAAGGGATACTGGTGCCCTCCTGCTTGGCTTGGGATAACTGCCCTCATTCCCTGGGACTCAGATGCAGGTTATGTCTGTCCTCTTGAATGCAAAGGCTATTGGGTGAGCAGAGTCTGATTTCTGCCTCAGGGCTCAGGCGTTGAAGGGTTTATACTGAGGCTTCCGAATGTCCAGCAGCTAGGTGGAGGTTTGCAGGCACCTGCCGTTTTGTAGCACTTATTCGGAGTTTGTTTCAGACCTGGTGCCTTGACTCCTTGTTTGGAGGTTTTGGATTGAGTGAAGTCATCCTCTCCATTACGCAGTCATTGACTCATTCATTGCAAACTTTTAAATCGAGTTTTTCGAACGACATTCCCTCTCTTTGCTTTCAGTTCATAGCCTGTGCCAGTGCGGGTGCCTGAGTTGATAGATTTGAGATGGATTTTTTTTTCTTTTTCTTTTGCTGTTGATGTGGTTCTTTTTCAGGGTCTAGATTTAGATGCAAAAGATGGAACTCTCTGGGACCTCGTTCAAAGGTTCTTTTTACCTTCTAATAAACCTTAAAAGACACTGGCCCTGAGAAGGTAAATCCTAGTAACTGTGCCCGCTAAAGACCACAGACAGATGGGCTTCTTATCTGAAAAGTGAAGGGGTGTGATCACAAGTGTTCTGTAATTTTGGAATATTCAAGGAGAGATGGGCATACGGCAGATTCATTGAACCGTCTTAGCAATTGGGAGCCGACTAAATTAAAAACACATAACACATTTTATGATTATGTATTTTTTGCTTCATTGACAAGTGATTCTGTTCACACTTGAATAGCAAGCAAGTGCATGGTTACAATTTTGATTGACACCCAATTTCTGCAAACAAAACACCAACCATGACTCATCTAAATTTTGAAGTGTGACAATCATGAACTTTCCAGTTACATATAAAGGTACTTTATGGAGACAAGTAGATAAGAATGTAATTTTCAAAGCCTTTGATTTGCTTTGGTAATACGTGATAGCCAAAACATCTGCCTTATTTATTTATCAGGTTAATCTTATCAATGATTACCATTCCTTCCTTGTTAATATCTTGCTTAGTTTTTTAATTAAAATATTTAGACATTTATTGCTTCTTGTACACATTTTGTGGGTTTTAATTGCTTGGTAAATCTAATGGAGGCCTGATAACCCAAAAGTAAATAAATTGTTACTTCAAAGTAAAGAAATTCCTGTGGAGATGTAATGGTTTTTCATATGGTGATTAATGGCACTTACTAGTAGAGAAGTTTACCCTTTTTTAGTGTTGAATAATTTCTAAGATAATTATTTTGATATTTTGAGCTTCATGATACCTTTTGGCATTGTTCATAAACTGTTAGCTGAATTAATATTAGGGGTATAAAATCTATTGCAGTCACTACTAGGTGTAAGTGTAGTATATAGAGCTCTTTCATATGACAAAATACAGCATAGCTTTAGAAGTATACATTAAATCTGTGATTCATTAATAGCAGTAACCTGGGTAGAGCTTATGTGTACCATTTCCACCATGGGAAATAAGAATTGCTAAACTACTAGGGCAAGTGATGTTTGTCAGCTTCCCCTATTTAAATGATTAACACAGACTTTTTCAACAGTCTTAATCTCATCCATTTTCAACACTAGATTAAAATATATGGTCTTTTAATTTTTTAATCTGTATCAAGTCACATTGAAAGTAATACAATGGCATTTGTTATTTTTTTCATTTTGCTAATTTTTTTTCTTTTTTTCAGTCTGAGTATGCACTGTTTGTTTTATTATTTGTATAGATGAGGATGACCTTGAGCTTCTGATTGTCCTGCCTCAACCTACACAGTGCTGAAATTAAGGCAAATGCCATCCTTTCTGGTGTATTGCTTGCTGGGGATTGAAATCAATACCAAAAGTACCTTTTAAGTAGGTTTTTATTATAGTTGTTATTAATTTTATATTATTATTAATTATTATTTTTTGCGTGTTTCCATGAGTCCGCGTCCCTGTGAAAGCCAGAGGCATCAGATCCTTTGAATTTGTAGTTATAGGTGGTTGTGAGCCACCTGATGTGAGTGCTGGGAGCCAAACTTGAATACTCACTCTTATAGCAATATGTACTCTTTTTTCCCTCCATTTATTTATTTCTTTAAAATTTCCACCTTCTCCCATTCTCCCATTTCCCTCCCAGTCCCTCTTCCCCCTATCTCTCCAGACATAATAGAAGTCAGGGTGCCCTGCCTTGTGGAAAGTCCAAGACTCCCCCTCCATCCAGGTCTAGGAAGGTGTGCATCCAAACAGATTAGGCTCCCAAAAACCCAGTACATGCAGTACAATCAAAATCCAGTATCATTATCATTGGCTTCTCAGTCCATCCTCATTGTCAGCCACATTCAGAGAGTCCGGTTTGATCACATGCTCGTTCAGACCCTGTCTCTCTAGGCATTCGAGTAGTTTGGTCATTTAGAGCCCTTAACTTATGAAGAGGTTAAAAGCCCCAAAATTTTATTGTAAGTTGAAAGTATTGTATATCAGAAATGCATGAGGAATGAACATGATGTGTAATTGTGTGGCCAAGAAAGGCGGCTAGCCTGTAGAGTTTGAGGCTAGCCTGGTCTACAAAGTGAACTCCAGGCCAGCTAGTGCTACACAGTGAGAATCTGTCTGGCTCAGTGGATAAAGTGCTTGCTGTGAGAACTGGAGTTTGTATCCCCTAACACCCATGTAGATTGTAAATAAATGAGTGCCTGAAATCACAACATGAAAGAGCTGAGTCAGAAGATCCCTGGTGCAAGCTCCTTATCTAAACTAGCTGGAACTGACCAGCCGTGGGTTCAGTGAGAAACACTGCCACAGTAAATAAAATGAAGGTTGATTGTGGAAACCACTTGGTGTTAATTTCGAGTCTCCACACAAATGCGCATATGCCCATGCCCACATATGTACCTACACATATACCAATACTCATGCATACATTTATAGAATACACATATGTGCCAAAAACAAAGGTAAGAGTCAAAATCCATGAAGAAAATTTCTTGAGTGTTGGGGAGGTGCTCTATTGGCAGAGTGCACGTTGCAGTCTGGAGGACGTCTGTTTGAAGTCCTCTGAAACCTGTGTTTAAAAATAAATCTGGGTGTGGGGGCTTGCGGTCATAATCCTAGTGAAGGGAAGCTGAAGACAAGTGGATTCCTGAATCTTGGTGGCCAGTCTGCCTAGCCTGCTTGGCCAATGCCAGGCCTCTGAAAACCCTGTCTCAAACAAACATAGAGCCCCCAAGGAATGACAGCTGAGGTTCTCTTTGGCTTCTACCACCACATGTACATGGGCACACTGCATGCACACCCACATACCTGCACATAATCTATTTAGTATACCTAGTTTGCTGATCATTGTGGTCTGTACACTATGGCCTGTGTACCCTTGTGATCCAGTGACTGACTGGAAGCTGCTGATTGCTGCCGCCTTCCAAAATGCCCAGCAACATGCTCCGCGTGTTGCTGGCTGAGAAAAAGATCATAATCAAATTCCGAGATGCAGTTTCTACTGAGTGTGTATTGCTTTCACACCATTGTGACGCTGAACAGAAACGCCAGTCAGATCATTTTAAGTCAAGGACTGTATTAAGATTCTCTCACCTTAACTGGGCGGTGGTGGTACACACCTTTAACCCCAATACTCAGGAGATAGAGGCAGGTGGATCTCTGAGCTTGAGGCCAGCTTGGTCTACAAAACTAGTTCCAGGACAGTCAAAGTTACACAAAGAAACCCTGTGCCCCCCCCCCCCCCCAAAGATTGTCACATCTTTGACTTTAAAGTTTGACAGTTCAGTCTGGGAGCCGTGATGTCTACCTGTAGCACAGCCCTGGGTACTCAGGAGAGTGAGGCAAGATGATCGCTTGAGCCCCGGATTTTGGTGCAACACCACACAGCGTAGTGAGATCCCACCCTCTCTTATAGAAATGAAGAAGAAAGGCTGCACAATTCCTTGTTGTTTTTGGTGGGAAAACGTTTTAGAACAAAATAAGGTGAGTTATTTAGTGTGTTATTTATTTATTGATTTACTTCTTAAAGATATAGTCTCACTATATGTATCATATATCTCACTATGTATATCAGACTGGCCTCAAACTCACAGAGAACCATCTACCACTTCTGAATGCTGGGATTAAATATTTTTTAAATGACTTATCTTTTCATTTTCCTGGAGACCAATGAATCGTTCCATCCAAGCAAGTAGACTGAATATTTTAGTTCTTTTTAGTGTCCCACAGTATGACTTCCAGCCTCTATTTAGTCAGAAGAATGGTTCCTTGCTAATTTGGTGGATGAACATGTTGAATAAATGTTATAATTGTGTGTGTTATAACTGTAGTTTTATACTGTTTTCTTTCTTGAATCCCAGCACTTGGGAAGCAGGGGCAGGCAGATATTTGTGAGTTCAAGGTCAGCCTGGATAGTTAGTTTCAAGGAAAGAAAAGCCTTTTTCTTTGGCCCACTTGCTATCAAGATGTACTTTAAATTTTACTGTTTAACGGTCATTGAGTATGCTGGTTACTAAACTAAAGCTTCGGTTTCTAGTATATGCTGTTAGGACTCAATTAATTAGTGAGTGGGGTTAGAGGACAGGCTTTATATTTTGAGTTTTGA